TGTTATGTAGTTTGACTATTGTCAATCAAATCTAATGCTTTGTATTGCATGCGCCCCACGCTTTTCATTTTCAATCTCATAAATTGTTTATAATGACTTGCTAAAATCAAAATCAAAAGTTATCAAAACAAATTCTATGGGACTGAAAATTATTATTTTCTACTTTTTAGTCCATTTATAAAAGCGTTGGATATTAAAAAGTTTTTTTTTGTATTAATTATTTTGAAGTTACCTTCACTCAGTCTCAATTTGCGAACTTGAAATTCAATTATGTCTGCATCATTTTTACCAATGCAGGAAATTGGTCGAGTAGTGGCAAAATTGCTACATCAGTATCAGAAAGAACTTTATGTGGTGTAATAATTTCAAGATGTTTAATATCTTTTCGATTGAAATCGAATATTATTTTCATGTGCTAAATGCTATGATTTAAGTTTTGCTACCTTTCCATATTTTTGCCAGCCACTTTGATATTCGTCACCGAGTACTTAATTGAAATTAGCAAGAAACCGCGATATTTTTTGAAGCGTCCTTTGACAGATTAGCCATGCCATATTTGAAGATCAGTGGTAAGGCGAGTTCACACTTTTAGCAGGTGTTGCCAATCGGCCCTATGCTGAATATCGTCATCGTCATCGTCGACGATCAGCGCGTCAGTAACATGGCTGCCGATGGCCGTATCGTCACTTTTACTGACGATTACGATATTCAACATGGGGCGGAATATTCATCAATTAAATAGAAAAAATTGAAAACTCGAAAGTATTGCATGATAATAACCCTGGCCAAAGGCTTATGAAATGGACCATTTCCAAAACAATGGGACCAATGGACCAAACGAAAAGAAATGGACCAAATTTGGTCCATTTGGACCAAAACGGCAACCGTGCGTCCTACGTAGAGAGTTATTTTTTTTTTTCTATGGAAAAATACTGATTGATTTATTCCAGCATACATGTTTGGCATATTTTTCTGTTTTTCGAGCATGTTTACCGGCTTAAAATAAATGGATTTTTTCATGCATATTTTTATCAGAGCTGCTTCTCAGTCATGACTAGCAACATTAATAGAGACTTAGGGCCTTATTCTGTATCACGAACTCTTGGCAGAACGAACGATTCGTCTGCAGACGACAACCTCTCTAATTGCGATTTTGAATTAATCGGTCGTCTTAGTCTTGCTTTTCATACTTTACGTTGCAATGGTCTCGGTTGCGTTCAAACCGGCTAAAATGATGCCGCTGGACTAGTTTTTGAAGCATTCCTCTGCAGACGAATCGTTCGTGTTGTGTTGCCTATCGTTCGTGATACAGAATAAGGCTGTTAATTTTTTTGTCGCTGTCATGACTAACAAAAAATTATTTCAATCATTTAGCCCCCTGTCAAATGAATACATTATTCAAAAAGAATTACATTACCATGACGCAATAATGAAAGGAGTTGTACGTTGTGACAGCTCGAAATCGAACTACCTTAGGTCAATATTGTATTTTGGAAGTACAAGAAAAACTGGAATAAAAAAGCCTTTTAGTTGAAAAACTACTAAATTGTATGCCTTCTCAACAGCGTTCCGATTATCAGAATAGGTATATATATGGCTTGGTAGTCTCATAAAGTTGTAGATAATTATAATAATAAAATTAGGCGTATTTTTATTCACAGGAATATGATAATATGCTTAAAATTTTCGAGCTGATGAATACCCAGCTAGAACAGTATGGCTTATATATTTCCTTTTATGAGCCGCATCACTAAGAAAATTATCCCTTATGAATTTGAAATGTGTCCCTTATATTGTACAGGCCAAATAGAGGAATTCATTTACGTGTGATCTTTTGCCCCCTCTTTCATATGGGCTTCTTGTGCGCATATATCAGGTTTGATAGCTGTTGACCATACCAATAATGCCTCATACTCAGTTTTACTAGATAAATTCGTGTTCTCGAAAAAAAAAAAATTCACGATTCAAAAATCTGAGTATGGCGGCCAAATTCTTTTCTCAAAATTTTGAAAATTCTTCGTTTTTTGCCCTATATTTGCTTTGTATGGTATTTTCAACAAAATATAGGCCAAAAACGATAAATGTTCAAAATTTGGAGAAAAAAGATTTTACAGATTTTTGGATCGTGAAATTTTTTTTCTCGGAGAACACGAATCGATCTAGTCAATCTGAGTATGAGGCATTATTGGTATGGCCAACAGCTATCAAACCTGATATAGTCGCACTAAGGTTTTTCTTGTGTTCCACAGTGTTATATAAGGGATACTTTGAGGAATCATATAAGGAATTATACATTACCCAAGTTCACGTATATCCAAGTTCGTGTCATACAGCAAGCATTGACTACTTTTTAATGTTTTATTTATTTGTTTTTGAAATTAACGACATATTTCAGAATTTATAATTAATACGTTGTGTTCATTTTAGTAAATCCACTTTTTTTTAATTGTACAAAATTTATTATATACATACAGTATCGGTCATATAAATAGCAACCCCATTTCAAAGTGATATTATTTCCCTCTCATGTTAATTTATTTATTTCTAAGAATTTGCAACAAAAGTAAAGTTGAATTTCTAACAAAACCCATATAAACCCAATTTTAAAACTTCGTAGAAAACTACAAAAAATACAAGTTTTCAACCTAATTTCAAACTTTTTTCTCAGAAGTGTTAGAATTTTTTTGAGCACTCAGTTTTATAGCCCCTTCAATTTTAGTCTAATTATATGTAAGTTTGAAGTGGCTAAAAATTACCTTTGTTTTTTTAGAATCGATTAAAAACAAATCGTGTTTAATCGTCTTCCATATAACGAAAAATGCGACCATATATCGATGGCTGAGTGGAAGATCGACCTATCTCGGCAGCCAGGTCGAAAACGCCCGATATCAGAAAACTTTTCAACGCCCTATTTCAAAATTTGGCTGAAAAACGCCCTATTTTAGAATTTGATTGAAAATGCCCTATCTCAGAACTCGGTTCAAAACACCCTATCTCAGCTGACGATTCAAAAACGCCCTATCTTAGCACATTTTCGAAGTATTTTCATTTGAGATAGGACTTTTTTGAACCGAATAATAATAATAACATACTATATACATATGTATCTAGTTTCAATATAAAAAAATTTATGTAAACATCATTAATTGTGTATACATATCTAAGTCAATATATGTGATATACATGTACATACATCTACATATCGTCGTTTAAAGTACAAAACCGTGTATCTATAAAATGCAAAACAGCGTATAGAGATAATGCAAACCCACGTATGCGAGGTTGCATAAATTATTTTCTAGAGAGCAAAAACACTCATATTTCAAAATGGTTATCTTTTTGTTAAAAGCAATCGCATTTTTGGCTAGTATATTTCAGGAAGAATGGATTAGGATTGAGACAAGAACTTGTGTGAGCGAATCCAAGTTTTAGCAGCAAATGTCAGTTACGTGGTTTTGTACTTTAAGCGACGATATGTATGTTAACAGGAACGCAGCAATCTAATACACGGGTGGAGCAGGAACGCAGCACAGCAGAAGCATACAAAAAATCTGCAAATAAATGGTGTTTTAGGTTTTTAACAAACAAAAATCTGGTTTCAACTTACTTCAACGCAAAGGCGCAACAGGAACGCAACACTATAAAACACGGGAAGAGCAATACACAGGCGGAGCAGGAACGCAGCACAGCAGAATCGTCCGAAAAATCTGCGAATAAATGGTTCATTAGATTTTGAAATAACAAAGAGCTGGTTCCAACTTACTTCAAAATATCTGCAGGATGATGCACACAATCAGATTCGGCCGCAGCTGCAGTTCACCAGAGAATGCTGCAAATGGAATGGTTCATCAATAAAGTCAAAATAATATGTTGTAACTTACATGTATTAGCTCTTAATCACAATACCAGCACAGGTCGGTCAGGAAAACACTAAGGAAATGACCTAATAAATGCAAAATTATAATTTATTTGTAAAATAATTCGGTTTTATTACAATACTTACCAAATTTCACGCAATTGGAAAACAAATGTCAGCGAATAAGAATAAAACGAACAACAAAAATTTAATCAATGTAGCTTGTTTAGAATTTTTTTCTAATATTTTGGGAAATGTTCAGTGAAAATAGCAAAGAAACAACACAGTTTCTCCTAAGGTAGTTCAAGATGGCGGATTAGAGCGAGAAGTTGCCGACGTATAACACCTTTCATTATTGCATCATGTTACATTACTTGAAACTAGAGCTCTAGATACCCGGGTATCGAGCAATGCGAGTAGCTCGATACTCACTCAAAACTCGTTCATTGCTCAACTGCTCAAATGTTTGTTCAAAATTTTCGAGTTTTTGAACAATTTCATAAACAAAAGAAAATTTGTAAATTGTATTTGTCAGCAGCTGCTTTCTAATTCATGTTAAATAAATTATATTATTAAATACCAATGTAACAATCTTTGCATTATATATCAATAATTTGAAAAATTTAAAAAGTCGCTACCAAAAATGTCAATATAATAAAAAAAAACATTGCTAAAATTACTCGAAAAACTCGAATTGCTCGAGCTCATGCTCGAAAATTTTCGAGTAATGAGCATTGAACAAGTGTGCGAGTACTCGCTGCTCATATACCCGGGCTGTTTGAAAATGTGCGAACAAAATCGAGAGCTCTACTTGAAACCTCTCAAACTTGTTTGCTTTTTCCATTTTTCCTAAAAACAAACAGTGGTATAAAACTCAATAACACTGTTGACAAAAATATTTGTTGCAAAATAAGTTACAATTAACAGTTATGAAATCACTAAAAACTGTTATAAATACACGCAAAAAAAAATCGAATAAAAGTTATTAAGTAATCTAAAGAATAAAAGTGGAGAAAGAAATTTTATTAGCAACTTTTTTAGTTCGAAGATTTAAAATAGCGTTATATTTGCTCTTTACAATCATAGAGATATTTTCTTAATTTTTTTCCAATATGTATGTATTAATGATTTTGTATGTCTTTAGCCCAGAATTAGTCACCGCTTTATCGATTGCTGGTCGTTTAGACTTTAATCCATTAACTGATGAACTTACCGGATCGGATGGGAAGAAATTTAAACTGTCTGCTCCATTTGGCGATGAATTACCTTCTAAAGGATTTGACCCGGGAATGGATACTTTCGACGCACCACCGAAGGTATATTTTCATCATTATTAGTTAAATGTGTTTATGTAAGGGAATATTTCAGGATGGCGAAGCTGTGAAAGTAGAAGTGGATCCAAAGAGTCAGCGTCTTCAAATTTTAGAACCCTTTGATAAATGGAATGGTAAAGATTTGGTAGATATGACTGTCCTTATTAAAGTGAAAGGAAAATGCACAACAGACCATATATCCGCTGCTGGACCTTGGCTTAAATACAGAGGACATTTGGACAATATTTCAAACAACATGTTTATTGGGGCTATTAACTCGGAAAATAATGAAATGAATAAGGTTAAAAATCAGCGAACAGGTGAATGGGCAGGTGTTCCTGATGTTGCACGAGATTATAAGGCCAATGGAATAAAATGGGTTGCTGTCGGTGATGAAAACTACGGAGAGGGTTCATCTCGTGAGCACGCTGCGCTAGAACCACGTCACTTGGGTGGTCGAGCTATTATAGTTAAATCGTTTGCTCGCATTCACGAAACGAATTTAAAAAAACAAGGATTATTACCTTTAACATTCGCAAATCCTGCAGACTATGATAAGGTATATTTTAATTAATAGTACCAATTTAGAAGCGAACTCGATTTCCTTTTGTTACAGATACAACCTGAAAGCAAAATTTCCCTAATTGGATTAAATAGTTTAGTGCCTGGAAAGCCAGTTGATTGCGAAATCAAAACCGGCAACAAAGTCGAAAGGATTAAGCTGAACCATTCGTTAAATGATTTGCAAATTGGTTGGTTTAAGGCCGGCAGCGCACTCAACCGAATGAAGGAGCTCGCAGTAAATAAGTAAATTGAACTCGTGGAGTGACTACAAATAAATCTTTAGAAAAAAACTTTGAAATACATAAATATAAGGCACTACATATCTACACCAAATCAGCGTTTAGATATAAAGAAATACATATTTCTCAAAATCTTGGTATGCTTTATTAGTAAATCATATTCTCTATTGATTTTAGTTCGTTTCACATGAACATGGTTAAATACAATAATTTATGCAAGTGAAATTGGTTGTTGATTAATTTTCTTCAAAGGGTTTGCTGATGGGTGGTGGACAAACTCACAACCATATTTTGTGTATATGTTAAAGGCACAAAAGATTCACCTACACCGTAAAATAGGGCGCATGCGACTTAAAACACCAAATACGGTGCGGTACTCTAGCACGCCTCGACTGGCGCCGCTCCTCCAGAATTTTTCGCAGCTGCAATTGAATTTGGGCGCCTTCGCAATCACCACCACGACGCACACACAGACAACATTGACTTGACCATTGCCCTCATACGGGGGACAAAAAAAGTTCCGCGATATGAGAGGAAAAAGTCGAAATCTTCTACGGTTTTTCCCGTCATCTCCCTACATGCTTACTGTTGGTCGCCACCAACAAACATCAGTAACGCTGAATTTGAGCTCATCCTAATACTCATGTACTTGCGTATGTATGTATGTTGAATACTTTCAGAACTGGAGCGTCGGGTGTCCATACTAACGACATGGTCAAGCCAGCGCACCGCTGTATTTTAATTGCCTGCACTATGGCCATGTCCCAATGTATTTTGTATGGAAAACGTTTGCCGTAGATATTTACCTCGCATGAGTTTTTCAACAAGTATCGATTGACAGCGAGTCTAGCGTGCTTGCGATACTCATTTCATCGTTTGCTATACAAAATACATTGGGACAGAGAAAAAGTGTGAATAACTTTCGCCTCGATGCACAGTGGTTCGGATAGCAGATCTAGCCGGACGAAAGTCAAAATTTTTTTGTTTTTAAAATACTTAATGGTACTTGGAATACATTCCTGACAAAACATTCAAATAGAAATTGCATTTATTAAAGCATTGTGTGCAAAGTGTGTTAAAACAGAAAAATACTTGGAGTTATAAAAACTTTGATTAT